AGGATTCCCTGAGGTCTGCCTAATGGTTCCATCAGTTACTAGATGAAGCCTCTCTTATGACCACTGGGCTAGGTATCAACCTATGAGTAGAACAGAATATCACTGGGAATCACTTCATTGATTTTTTTTTTTAATTCTTGTTTTTTACCAATCGTGTTTGGTTCTATCCTAGGTCCCGGATACATTTTCTTAACAAGAGACATCTGGGAATGAGAGGAAAAGACTTCGGGAGAAATATAAAAGCAGAAATGAAAACCTCCCAGGAGGGTTAGAGATACAAAACCAAATGCCAGAGATGGAAGGGATGGAAGGAAAAACAGACAGCTAGAGGCTTTCTGCCCCGGTCACCCAATATTGAACAAATGTGGAGCCCCAGGAAAGCAGATGGGAGCAAATGAAAAATCAGGGTTTCCCAGTATCTGAAGGGTGTGTGTCATGAGGTGGAACACATCCATCCTGTAAAGTCCCAGTACAATGGATTAAAAACTCAACTTCCATACAGTGATTTTTCAGAGTATTGAGGGGAAGGCGGTCCTAAATATTTTAAAAGAGAGAAAAAAATTACCAAACCGGTATGGGACTCCTAACAACACAGAGAACGATGTTGTCGGGCTCTGAGAGGTGCTTCCCAGCCCAGAGCTCTGTATGCAGCCAAACTGTTAACTGGAGACTAATGCAGAGCATGTTTCTGATGTTCACAGCTGCGCAGTGTGCACCAGGAAGCCAGGGGTAGACACCCAGCAAAGGACCTTATGAGCAGGGAAACCCAGGAAACAGGATAAGCCGAGTAACGGACAGGTGAAGGCAATCTCCCAGGTGCAGGGGGATGCAAGACTAAGTGACACCTGCATATCACAGCAAGCACACCTGGGCCCAAGCCTCGGGGGGCTGAGGGGACTGTGACAAACACCTGGCACAGCTAAATAATCTGCCGGGGTCTCACACACCAACAGGGTTTAGGCTCAATTACTATACTAAAATGCCTGGGCAGTTGTGGCACACATCTTTAACCCAAGCACTTGGGAGGCAAGGGGAGGTGGATCTTAGTGAGTTCGAGGCCAGCGTGGTCTACAAAGCAAGTTCCAGGACAGCCAAGACTACACAGAAAAACCCTGCTTTGAAAAACCAGAAGGAAAAAAAAACCACTAAAGAATAAAAAATAAATAAAAACACTTGTTCAGAAAAAGAAACCAGGGGGGTTGGAAAGATGGCTCAGTGGTTAAGAGTATTGCCTGCTCTTCCAAAGGTCCTGAGTTCAATTCCCAGCAACCACATGGTGGCTCACAACCATCTGTAATGAGGTCCGGTGCCTTCTTCTGGCCTACAGACATACACACAGACAGAATATTGTATACATAATAAATAAATATTAAAAAAAAAAGAAAAAGAAACCAGGGCTGGGGGTGTCGCTCAGCAGTAAACCATGTGATTCCACGCACAACACCCTGGTTTTAATCCCCAGCCCCCACCTCCTGTGCGCCAGTCACGTTCTCACACAGCTCAGTTGGTAAAAACAGCATTTATCGTCATGGGCCAGAGATTTAAGGACATTGGAAGGTCAACAATTTCAAAACGTAAAAGTTGAGAAGTGGCGGAAGTGTGTCATCGAGAGGCTGCACAACGCTCGCCCGCTCCTGGCTGAAAACAACTCATCTGACTTTGCAAGTGGCTACCCCAAAGCTAGGGGAGCCATTTAGAATGCTTCAGTGTTCTGTCGGCATGGATGCTCTGCTCCCAACTGTTGGCACTTTCTCAGCAGAGCCAGGACCTCTCCCTAGTCCTCTGCCTCTCTTCCCTGCCTCCTTGCCTGGAGGGCTGTCCTGAGTCCTTAAGCCTGGAACTTGGGAACACTGTTGTGTTGGAGTGGATTTTAAACAGAGGCTGGCGCAATCCTCCTTGTGACATTTTGAAGCGTGCTCAAGAAAAACCACATCCCTGGTGCCCTAAGTGCAAAGCTGGTCTGCAACCTAAGTTGAGTGGTCAATCTGAAAATTGATGCCATTTAGAGAGGCCACTTCATCCTTTTAATGAGCCCATCCTTTCCTTTTAATGTTAACATTAAACATTAAGACATCTTTGTAGGGGCTGAAGAGATGGCTCTCAGGGGACCTGGATTCTCAACACCACGAGATGACTCACAACTGTCTTTAATGCCAGAGACTGGACATCTGATGCCCTCTTCTGGCCTTTTTGAGCATTGCATGCACACAGTGAACAGACAAACAGGCAGGCAAAATTCATACAATAAAACTAAAAATACATCCTTTATTTTTCTAAAAAGGGCACTGTTCTATTTGTGTCCATCCTTTTGGGGAGTTCCTCTTTTAATTTCACAACTTCAAAAAGGTATTACTTACCAACTTTAAATGCACACACACTTATTTTAAATCGTTTCTCTCTCTCTCCTCTCTCTCTCTCTCTCTCTCTCTCCCACCCCAGGTGGATTATTTCAAATCCCTAGATCCTTGGATTCTGAAATTGTCTTCTTAGACAAGCAGAGAATTGGAAGCATTTTACTTCAAAGGCAAAATGTTCCCAATTAAAAGCCAAAAAAGTTGCATTCCTTACTTAAGCTGGTCAGCCCAGACTGTCTGTCTCACTCACGGCCGAATGAGGCATTGCAGCACAGCCTCCAGCCGCATGACTCAAGACTGTGATCCAAGGAAAGCATCCTTTCAAATAATGTTGTGCACCTAGAGCTTAGAGATGACTCTGGGATTCCCCACAGCCTGGTTGGCTTTTATTCTTCTTCCCAGATTTGTCCCCAGATAACTCGGGTCAGCTCTGCCCTTCTCTGTTTCAATTAACTGGAACCCAGTTATTCTGTCCTGGGAGCCCTTTCTCCTCACCCGCTACTCACTCCTTGTTTGTTCGAGGCCAGTCTGCCTGGTTTACATGGGGAGTTCCAGTACAGCCAGGGCTACGTAGCAAAACCCTGCCTCAAAAGAACAAAACAGAACAAAACAAAAAAAAGATTGAGTTTTATCAGGTAGGTAGCAAAAATGATCAAAGAACTAATCCTTACCAGTTTTGCCCAAATCAAGGTTGATTTTTTTTTTGGTTTTTTTGTTTTTTTTTGTTGTTGTTGTTGTTTTTTGTTTTTTCTTTTTTTGTTTTTTTGAGACAGGGTTTCTCTGTAGCTTTGGAGCCTGTTCTGGAATTAGCTCTTGTAGACCAGGCTGGCCTCGAACTTACAGAGATCCTCCTGCCTCTGCCTCCGGGTGCTGGGATTAAAGGCGTGCACCACCACTGCCCAGCATAAGTGGAAAATGGCAAAAGGAACGGGGTGCTGTTCTGGATGACTGTGCTGCACCGCAACATTCAGCTTCTAGGAAAAGAATCAAGAGCTAGGCCAGGGACACAGCTCAGCTGGTAGAGTGCTCGCCTAACATGCACAGAGCCCTGGGTTTGATCCCCGGCAACCAGTAAACTGGGTGTGGCAATTGTTGCCTGAATCCCAGCATTTGAGTGACAGATAAAGACATCAAAGGTACAAGGTCATCTTTTTTATTTTTTGGTTTTTGTTTTGGTTTTTCAAGACAGGGTTTCCCTGTGTAACAAGTCCTAGCTGTCCTGGAACTAGCTCTTGTAGACCAGGCTGGCCTCCAACTCACATGGAATCATCTTTTGATACATAGCAAGTCTAAGGCTAGCCTGGGCCACATAAGAGCCCGGCTTAAAAAAAAAATTAAGGTGAGAAATTTACCAAATTACAAATACTCTCTGGAAAGAATGTAATCCCGGCCCTGAGGAAATAAAGCAGTAAGACCTGAGTTCAAAGTCAGCCAAGCCTACACAGGAAGTCTGTGTGTAGAGAAAACAGGGATTTTGTCTCAGTAAGCTTAGCTCAAGCGTGTTGTCGTCACCGTTTGCTGAAGCTCTGGGAACTGCCCAGCAGCCCACTGACGCCTTAGTGTCAAGCATTCACTATGCTGATTTGCTAAAGCAACTTCCACCAGCCAGTACACTATACAGTAAGGACTAGCTCTGCACATGTGCGATAGCATGGGAGCTGCGGGTACTGTACAACCAACTCTAAAGAAACCTCCAACAGACGTTGGTATGGGCAATTGCATAAAACTCAGTTTAGGTTGTACCCAGTATTAAAACTTAGCTCTGGGATGGCTAAGCAGGACTAGGGAGCCAATGGCAAATTGATATTTGATTTAATTAAATATTTACCTATTTTACTTCACAATGGAACATACATATGCACAAATTCACTATGTCCAGGTGGATGGCTGAATTGCTCTATTAGCTCCATCCTATCATTTAGGATCAGCTGGGAAGCTAAACAGGATTCTAATTCTGCTTTCTCAGGAAGCTCTCAAATGAGCAGAAGGATCTACTAGTAAAGTTGACTTCTCCCAGTGCTGAGCAACTTGGTGCCAATCAGCGTGGTTTTCTCAGTGGGGGGTCTCAGCAGCCAAAGGGCTGCCGGGTCTTTTGCACAATCCTAAAAAAGGTTGATAACCCTCCCTCCTTCCAGCTGTACTGAGACTCAAACCTTGGGCCACCAGCATGCCAGAAAGTGGTCCATCATTGAGTCACACCCACAACCCCCCTTCCTCATTTTTCTGTCCAAACAGGCTGTGTGTCTTGTTCCACCAAAATTTACAGCAAAGTACTGCAATTCCTTACAGCATAAGTTTACCAAACAAGGTAAGACTGGGCACATCGGGGCATGCCTTTGATCCCCCAGCACTTAGGGAGTGGGTTCCAGGCCAGCCGGGGCTACATAGTAAGATACTATCTCAAACAAACAAACAAAACAAACTGGGCTACTATTTGCAAATAACCAAATTTTGTTCCAGCTTTGTGCTGGTTATGTTATGGGCGGGGCATCAAAACCCTTCACTGGAAACACTTTAAAGAAGAAAAAAAGAGTTTGACCATCACACTGTACGAGCAAGGAAATGTCCACTCTAAATAAGGCTGTATTTAGAATTTTTCTGAAGTATCTAGTCAGGTTTTGCATAAATAGCTCATACCGGCAGTTGTGAAGATAAAGGAAAGCACAGTCTTTATTGAACTGCAGACTGTGAATATGCCCCGTGGGATGGGCTGTGTTTGCATACAAGTGCACTTTATAAACTTTCAAGGTAAACAACGGACATCTTTGAAGACACTGTGAGCTTAAAAAAAAGAAAGCTTCCAGGTGTGACATTCACTCAGTTTTCATCACTGGTGCCCAGTCACATGGCCTCAGGAAATGTCGAGATTTCATAAAGCATTTGTATCAAATCTCTTTCTGGCAATCTCCTCAATGCCTCTGCAGCGGTAACTAGACAAGAATGGAGAGTTGGACACTCAGACCTCCAGCACCTCATGGGCATCTGCGTTGCTTAACACTGAAGGCAATGCTAGCAGGGAAGAAAATAAACAGAAAGCTGGTTAGACACAAACCAACTTCACCAGACTTCTAAGCATGTGTCTATAGGATATGCTACCCGAGAAAAATGTTGACCCCAATGGCCTTTCCCACTCTATGCCCGGAAACAACACTGGCTGCTACACATCCTTCCCCCTTTAACGATGTACACAGAAGCAACACTTTACTTCTTAGCAGTAAAGTAAAATGTGGAGTTGCAGAATTGCTGGGCTTTCAATGCCTTGAAAACTTCAGTGTAATGTAACTGAGGGAATCTTAAAAGCCAGAGGTGAACTGGAGAGATGGCTCAGAGGTTAAGAACACTGGCTGCTCTCCCAGAGGTCCTGAGTTCCATTTCCAGCAACCACAACCATCTGTAATGAGATCTGGTGCCCTCTCTCTTCTGATGTGTAGACACACATGCAGACATAACACTATACATAATAAATACATTTTTTAAAAACATAAAAAATAAACAGTTAAACTGATCTAGGAACCAAAGGCAGAAGCAGTGGAGTAGCGCAGTTGGCACTTTAATCCAGGAAGAAGGCTGACAACCCAGGATTGGGTACTGAATTCTAGGAGACAGGCTCTATACCCCAGTGAGTACTAGCTGTAGCATGCTTCTCTGGCCCTCCCACTCCTACCTCGGAGCAACTATTATGAGCCCCACCATCTCCACAGGAATTTTTTTTTATCAAGGTCTTCCAGATTCTCTAACAGAGACCTTCTCCATCAAGCTGCAGAAACGCAGAGCCAAGGGAGTCACAGAAACTGAACGGAATGTAAATCTGGCTCATATAAAAACCCATTTCCCCTTTTAAAATAACTGAAATGTAAAGATAAAACTACCAGCAACCCATAGACAAATCTAATGCAATCGCAAACTCAGAGAACACCCTCCTGCTCTATCCCCAAAAGTCCAGGCCATAATTGAGCCTAACCAGGACAGCCAGTTGCTGCCACCACCACCCCACCTCTCTCTCTCTCTCACACACACACACACCTCGTTTAGACTAGGGATCACAGCAAACTCAGTAAGACAACACTTAACTGGATGTCAAGGCCAAACACATACTCAAAAACAGTAAACCTCTGATTAGAGCAAACCAGGCAAGGAGTTAAATAACCAGGAGGTCTAAGCATGCTTCCATGCATGGAAACTGTGTCAGGCCTGAGCTGTGAGAAACACTGAAGGGCATCCTCGAGTGTGGGCTTCAGCATTTCCTCCAAGAACACCCTGACAAAAGGGTAGGAAATGACTCTGGAGCTCTTGATGTTCACAAGAGGCAAGATGGTGATACTCCCAAGGAACCCTGCTCCCACGCACACTGTCTTCTCAATGCTCCACTGGATAGCTGCTACTTGACGGGCATTTCAACAGTGACTGTAACAGGTAACAAGCCCACTCAGCTCTATAGAAGCCTTGGCTCACAAACTCCTCCCTGTAGATGTTGCTTTCTTATTTAAAAAAAAAAAAAGTGCTTCAATAGCCAGGCAGTGGTGGTGCAAGCCTTTCATCCCAGCAGGAGGCCTCTGAGTTCAAGGTCAACCTGATCTACAGAGTTCCATGACAGTCAGAGCTACACAGAAAAACCCTGTCTCAAAAACCAAAAACAAAAAGACTGTTTCAAGCTTTACCCAGCACTTGAGAAACAGAGGCAGGCAGATCTTTGTGAGTTTGAGGCCAGCCTGGTCAACCCTGTTCCAAAACAAAGATTTTGTCATGGACTTGAAGATCACCAACATTTCAGTATCTACCAGTGAAACCAGGGACATCTAATAGCTTATTCTTAAAGTTTATTGTAGAAGAACCAATTGTCTATGAACATTCCTCATTTCTGGGCAACATACAAAGACCAAATAAACAGGATGAAAGAACTGAGCAGTTCAAAACAGCTCACCAAAGTCCAGGACTGCAATAACCCAGAAGCACAGCATGGTGGTAATCTCTTTCAGTATATTCCCACACATCTGGAAGGAGAGCCAATGAACACATGCCACAGCAGCAGGGGCCTGCGCTGCCCAGGCCCACCTTTCTTCTGACTCTCTTGTCTTTCTCAAAGTCCCAAGCACTAGCCCAAAGGCCACTGTACACAACCCCTAATCACACACACAACTCCAGAGCAGAGTTCATTAAAGATGCCCTTCCCAAACAGAGCCATCCTACACCTTTAATGCTAGCACCTGAGAGGCGGGGGCAGGAAGATCTCGTGTTTGAGTCCAGCTGGACTACAGCCTGTCTTAGCTAACGTCAAGCCCTGGAACCATAACGCACAACCATGAACCATGGGCATTATCCAGGAATATCTGGGATGAATCCAACAATGTGAGTGAGGCTCCTAACTGAAACCAAGGCAAGATACCTTCAAAATGGACAAATATATAATGTGGTCAACTGCTTAAAACGAGAGAGAACACACATGAACCCAAAATCTAGGACTGGAAAAATGACGACTCAGTAGTGAGAAGAGCTTGCTGCTCTACAGGAGACCCAGGTTTGGTTCCCAGCACGACATGGTGGCTCACTCTAGCTCCAGTGCGTCATCCAACACGTTCTTCTGGTCTCTGTGGGCTCCTGCACTTACAGGGTGCACATCAATTCACGCAGGTACTCATATGCATATACTCCTCTAGAAATATGAAAGCTAGACTTGAAAACTAAGTGTAGAATCCTCAAACAAAAGATGCTAGCGACCAGGGACCATCCTGGGCACATGTAACACCAGCGAAAAAGGAACTTGCACTATCAATTGACCCAAAGCACTGGGGTTCCCTGTGGATACCTCGCCACCCCCCTCCCCAGCACGGCTACAGAGTAGTATTTAAATGTTCCTTTTGACAGGTACTCAAATATGACCAGAGAAACGTCACTGCAGAGACATTTCTTGTAAAATTCACCCCTAAGAACATCAAAGAATGCCACTAACAATCATGGGTATGGAAGGACCAACCAGAATGATTAAGATACATTTCTGAGATTGCTACAAAATCTTCATCAAAAGTATTCAAATTCAAGAGACAAATGCGAATCAAATGCAAAGATAAAATGAACAAAACAAATGAACAGGCAAACTAAAAGTTCTTGAAAGTATTTTACTTCAGATTGAAAAATGAACAGCTTCCATGCTGTTCATTCCAGATACACAGTATTCACGAATACAATGCTGGCCATCTGAGGAAATGTATACACACCTCAATTCTCCTTCATGCTTTTTCTTTTAGAAAGATACTGTTTACCAAAAAGAAACGTCAGCAGTACAGGAAAAACTATTTTCCCAATAAATTTACGAAAACCTAAGATTCCCAATGGAATCAAGATTATCTTCCCGCTACCACCACCTTAATATAATCACATGCTTATTGGACACTAATATTCCCACCCTAAGAGTACATTTACTTTCAACAATGAGGGTGACTCTTTAAAAAAACTTCAGTGTGGTAAATGTAACACAGATCTCTGCAGGTGTTAAGTGTCTGAAATAGGCGGCTAATACTGGATTTAATATTATTTTATAAATAATTGTTCCCTTAGCAGTAAACATAAGTCTACACATTCACAAGCCCTACAAAATAAATACTGTGATTATGCACAATATGTTATGACAAACTAGTTTCAAAACAACAAAACTTCAACATCTTGATAAAAATTCTGATCAGAATAAAATGTGACTCTAAAATTTAAAACAGTCAAAATGATATCACATTTAAAATTTTCCAGTTTACATTGTACTGTGAGTTTCCAGTTGTGGAACACATTTTCCCAATGTAAATTAAAATATGAACATATTGAAAATTGTTAATTTCAGCAACGACACCAGTTTTGGTCTTACTTTATAGCATTATTCTTGTTACCGAAAGTTGCACTAAGTGTCCATTAACGGTCTGATTGGTCTTCAGTATTTCATAAGTGTTTATAAAAGAAATCTCTAAAAGCCAACAGTACTTCACACATACACATATAAAGGAATCTCATCTCGGAAATGGCCATACTGAACAGAGCCACACACACTGATGCTAGACATGAGGGCTCTCACCTCCAAAAACCACTTTGATGACGAGTGCATATAATCCATGTTAAATATCCCACCTGAGTTTCAGACTCAGCAGGCAATGAGTAACAGGAGTATACGTTTGCACTCACAGCTGACCACAGCCAAAAGTTACAGGATGATTAAAACAAGCCAGTGTTTACAAAGTTTAATTAAAGACAGCAATTCCATTAACAGAGAGGAGAAAGAATGGGATGACAGAAGTATTTGGTCTTAATAAGGCAATACAAAAATCGATCCATTATCAAAGACCATTTAATTTTTAAAGATCGACAATACCAAAAGCATAAAGTGGAGTATAAGAAAATAGTTTTTTTTTATAAGTGTGATTTAATTAAAGCTGTTTACAGTTACTCTCTCCCACAATAGTAAGCATGACCTTAAAAAGAATGAGATCTGACACCACAAGCACATAGCACACAGGGTCAGGAGCCAGCATGCGAGGTCTGTGGAGCTAGAGGTCGCACTGACAGGAGCAGCCCAGGCCCAGGGTGCCTTTTGTTTCCTATGAGGAAGAGAAAGGAGGGAAAGAGACTGCGAAGGAAACACACACACAGTCCTGCTGCTGCCCAGCGCCCAAGAAGACAGCAGCACTGTAGAGGACAGCTGAGCTGATTTCTCAGAGATGACTAGAGGATGTTCAGTGTATACACAAAGTACACAGTACGTTTTTCTCTTTTTTACAAAATAAAATAAACATCATTTGCCACCATAAACCTTTTCTTTAGAGAGGAAAGAATTTCGCAGCAGGTCACACGGGTTCAATGAAGTCATTTCAATGCCGAGGAAAACAAACCAAAGAACAGAGCTAATCACTTCCCTGCATGTGAGTTAGAATGACAATTCAGATTATTCTTCAAACTAATCCTGAGAAAAAAATCTGTTTACAATTCAAACAGTAATGTTATGTAAAAAGTATTAACAAATCCACTATTACAAATATCAATTTCCTATATGGTCTTCTATATATACACACAATAAAATGGCAAATATATGCAAAATTATTTTTAAAAAAACATGCACAAATCACTTTCCCTCTTGGAGTCTGACTTCCTATGAGATGCTCTTGTTGGCCTTCCCACCCATCTCCTTGAAACTGCTTTTTGTTCCTGTCACCCTCCCCACACTGAGTCCTAGTCCCTATAACTCTGCATAAAGCCAATGAGAAATATATTTATTTTACATTCAAGCTTTAAATCTTAAAATGACCCTGTTGTAGCACATGACTTATCAAATAAGCAGCCTTTTTCCCCCTTTTTTGCTTGCTTTTTGTTTTTGCAGTTGTCAATCTTCATGATCCATTCCGTGGCGAGCTGGGAAAAAAACGCAGTTGCTAAATCAACGTCTGAACAGTGTGAGGCTCCTGCCGTCCAGGAGTCCCTGTGCGACTGTCCTGAGCACGAGATCATTGCACACAGAAGACAGTCCGTCGCACAGCGCCGACTATCTACAAAGGTCTGAGAGGGGCGCGTCCCTCTTGTGTTTCCTCTTTTTGCCATGGTAATACTGAGTATTGGATTTGCCTTGATGCTGTTTGCTTGTCATCAAGGCACCATGGCTGGTTTGGGCTGTACCTTGGAATCCTTTGCTGGAAGAACGGAAGAGCCTTGCTGATCCATGCTGCAGAAGAAGAGAGCAGTGAGAATTGCAGCAGCTTCCCACGGGCAAACCTGAATTCAGGGGCACGCACACCACCTACCACAGATCCTTCCACCCCCACCGCGTGGAGCCAATCCGAGACAGTCTATCACTCGGGCTGTGTATAAAACAGCCAACCAGCTGTCCTTGTACTCTCAGAGATGTGCCTGCCTCTACCTCCCAAGTGCTGGGTGTGCACTTTCAGCTACCACAGACTCTTTTAGAGGCTGGAATAAGGAGGTGAGCTCTCTGACTTCTCTTCCTGACAGCATGCATATATTATGAAAGCTTGCTATAGGGTCCCTACCACTCACACCACTACCAGAAGAGGTTGTCAGACCTACAGTTTACAGGCAGGTCAGGGGCAGGGGCTGGCTGCTCCTTACTTTCCTGTTTCCAATGTCAGCCCCTGTGATTTCCTAATGACTTTCTCTTGGTCAGCCCTGTCACTACTCAACTGCATTTGGTGCCCATATACTAAGGCTGTGGAGGTACAGTGGACTGGGTAAGTCAAATCAAAACGATGAGTGACAGTAATCTCTACCATCAAGAGGCCTTTTCTCAGGGGCCGCACTACATTTGAGGACGAAGAGAGAACTTATGCCAGAGACCAGTATCAAAAACTTCTTTCTGTTGGGCAGTGGTGGCACACGCCTTTAATCCCAGCACTCAGGAGACAGAGGCAGGTAGATCTCTGTGAGTTCAATGCTAGCCTGGTCTACAAGAGCTAGTTCTAGGACAGGCTCCAAAACTATAGAGAAACCTGGCTCAAAAACCAAACAAAAAAAAAAAACCAAAAATTGTTTCTTCCCTTTGCCTGATTCATTACTTATAGCTAATTAAACACACTACTGGGCAACTAATAGTGGCCTGTTTAAGTCAAAGCTAATGTTAACAACCAAACCTGTCTCCCAGCTACCTGATGATCAGCATAAGCAAAAAGTGTCAGATATGAACAAAGGACACACTGTTTCTAGGGATGCTGTAGACATTCCAAGACAGTGTACTTCAAGCACAGCCATGCAGGCCATTCACCAGCCTGCTCTATATTCAGCTACATCCTCAGCCCAGTGTAATTTTTTAATGCTTAATCTGTAAATAAAAAAAAGGGAGGGGGGGTTGGGCTGGTACCAAGATCTGAAAAAGTCCTGAAAAGATCTATGTTACAATGGTATATTACAAGGACCCTTGCAACAGCTGGTTCTGGAAGCACTGAAGAGCTTTGGAAGCAAATGACTCAGTTCTTTACCCAAGAGATTTCTTTAAGACCATGGTAGCCATTGCTCACATGTAAGAAATTCTAACTATATGACATGTGTTTTAACATTTTGCAATAATTAACAATATTCATTAGAAAATTTAAAAAACATACTATTTTTGTTATCATTTTATAGATAAGGTAGGTATAGAACTAAATCCATCCTGCAGATGAGACAAGTAACACAGAGGGGTTAAATGAAATGTTCAAGGCCATATTCCTCATAGCCAATAAGCAGGAATTATCTTAGGTCAATCAAAAACCTGAAGGCATGCTATCAAATATAAAGTATGCTATCCTGCATCATTATGATTTCTGTTTTTCAAGCTGTGTTTCATTACTTACTCTTATAAGGGCAGAATTAAATTTTAATTAATTAGGATAAGTTTATGTGGTTTTAAATCCATATAAACACAACTGCTATCTGGAGCTGTCCAAGTCCATCAGGATATGTTAACAAGTATTGGTAAGTTAGACCCATGAATCAGCAGTGTTTAATGAAGGCATGGGAATGTGTAAGTCTGTGGGAGCTTCTAGACACAGAGAGAAGCAATGTCCTGAAAAATTCAAGTTTATCAACTATAGCAAGAATGGATAGGATTGGGGTAGGAGTTCCTTCTGTATTTGTGTAGCTTTCACTGGTTAATAAAGAAACTGCTTTGGGCCTTGTGATAGGACAAAACTTAGGTAGGCGGGGAGACAGAACTGAATTCTGGGAGGAAGAAAGCAGAGTCAGAGAGCCACCATGCGAAATCTTTCCAGGTAAGCCACAACCTCATGGTGAACACAGATTAACAAAAATTAATAAAGATGTGAGAGTTAGCCAATAGGAAGCTAGAGCTAATAATGGCCAAGCAGTGCTTTAATTAATACAGTTTCTGTGTGATTATTCCAGGTGTAAGCTAGCTGGGTGGCCGGAACACGGGGCCCTGCTCCTTGCAACATAAGATATTCATCCCTGTTATAAATAATGCTGAGAGACTATCTGGTACTGAACACTAACAATAATAAACACAAATTCTGCTCACCTGTGATTTGTTGGTGCTGTTGGGTGTGCTAGTGGTTTGGGTGCTCTGCACTTTTCCAGCTGCCTGTGAGACCTCCAAGGAGACATCCTGTGAGCCTATCCGGCTGCCAGTGGGTGGACGGCAGAGCAGCTGTTTGGGGGTTTTGCATGGCGTTGCATCAGAATCCTAATACAAGTTACATGGATTATATAAAGCAATATATTAGTAATTTTCATATTCAGTACTCAGAAAGGCAGTAATTTCAGCTAAGTGCCATCTAGCGTAAACAGACACATTTGGGAACTAAGGAGGCTTTTCCTTCAAATGCTGTGGGAAGGTATGTGCATCCAAGCACATACAGTCAGAGACCAGAGGGTGATGACTTTTGGTCTCTTCCTCTATCTCTTTCCACTTTGTAAGACAGAGTCTTGTCTCTGATGCCACAGCTGCAGCACACACAGCCATGCCTGGTTTTAAGTGGACGCTGGGTATTCCAACTAAGGCCTCCAGCTTACACAGCAAGCACTTTCTCAGTTATGTGCCCAGTCCCTTCTCCAAACATTTTTATTTATTTATTTATTTATTTATTAATTATGTATACAATATTCTGTCTGTGTGTATGCCTGCAGACCAGAAGAGGGCACCAGACCCCATTACAGATGGTTGTGAGCCACCATGTGGTTGCTGGGAATTGAACTCAGGACCTTTGGAAGAGCAGGCAGTGCTCTTAACCACTGAGCCATCTCTCCAGCCCCCCCTTCTCCAAACATTTGAAGTGACCTGTTTACCATGGGCTTCTAGATACTGCTCAGTCACTGACCACATCTCACTAATTTGTTCACCAACTGTGCATGGGTCTACTTCCATCATAGTTGACATGAGGTTTTATTTATGTGATCAAATTACAGAACCATGGAGGACCACAACAAAGAGGGAGGGGCTTAGGACCCAGGCATGGCCCAGTATCTTCAATCAAACACAAAATAACAAGCTTTGTTGTTCCTGGTTTTTTGTTGTTGCTGTTGTTTTTTAAGATAGGGTTTCTCTGTGTAGCTCTGGCTGTCCTGGAACTTGATCTGTACCAGGCTGGCCTCAAACTCAAGAAATATGCCTGCCTCTGCCTCTGGAGTGCTGGGATTAAAGGTTTGTGCCACCATGCCCGGTACAAGATGACAAGTTTAAGGGGCTCAATGTGAGAGTCTAAGATGACGAGGCTTGTCTAAGTCCCACCTAGCTTCTTGGCTGCTTTATGCTGGCACCCTCCCTGACATGTCGGTCAGAGCTCAGTCCCTTATTCTCTCTTCTCAAGGTAGTCTACCTCTGATTTCTGTACCCTGCTGTAGGCTATCTAGTGTAACACCCACTCCCCCTCCCAAAGGACCATTCCAAAATCCACAGACAAAGGGAGATTCTACACATGAATATCCACGACACCATAATGATATGCTACCATCCATCAATGTGAAACTCTTTCTTTTGTATTTTTTCTTTGAGACATGGGTCTTCTTTAGCCCAGGCTCGTGGCCTCATACTCAATATGCACTGGAGGATGTCTTAACTCCTGCCCCTGATCCTCCTGCCTCTACCTTCCCTAGTATGGGGATTATAGGCTTGCACCTATAATCAGTGCTGGGGACTGAACCCAGGGAGCATACAAGGCAAGCACTATGCCTCCAAGAGTCTACAGACTTTCAATCAAAGAAAAGCTAAACCTACCTTAAACTTTAAGTAGACTCAAAATTTCTTTGATTAAAAAAATTAATATAAGAAGTAACTCACCACAATTCAGACAGAAAGTGGATTAGAGGTTAGGCCACTAAGTAACATAGGCATTTGTTTTTATTTTTGGTTTGAATTTGAGATGGTGTCAAACAGCACTGACTACATAGCACTGACTAACCTCAAATTCACAAAATTCTGCCTGTCTCTGCCTCCCGAGTGTTGGGACTGACAGCGTGTGCACCACATATGGCTTGAAACATCTTTGCATTCAGAGTGAAAACGGCTGTATAACACTAAATACATTAAAAACGACTAAACTATAATCTAAAAATATTTTTATTTTATTTATGCATGTGTGAGTGTCCTGAGAGGCCAGGAGAGGACCCTGACCCCTGGGAGATGGAGTCACAGTTGTGAGCTAACTGACACTGTTGCTGGAAACTCTGAAATGTACTTATTAAATAGTGAACTTTCTGATTTGTAAATTTTATCAATTAAAAATTCAATTAGGAAGTTCAAAAACAAGTAAAAATAAAAACAAGCTTAAGAAAGTCAAAGAATGGTGGCGGGGGCGGCAGTGGTGACACACGCCTTTAATTCTAGCACTTAGGACATGGAGGCAGGCAGATCTCTAGGTCTGAAGCCAGGCTATTATACACAGTGAGTTCAAAGATAGCCAGGTTACACAGAGAAATCCTGTTTCAGAAGATTTAAAAAAAAAAAACTGAAAGAACAAAAAATAATGTTTTATGCTACGCAGTGGGAAACCCTGTCTCATCAAAAGAATAAAACAAAAGAAGCCTTACAATTATTACATACTGTGTGATCACATTTCTATAAACTCCTACATGTAAAAGTATACTGTTAGAAAATCCTTTAATAAGGATGCCCTCTGGGGGTGAGACTGGGGACTGCTGGTGATGACGCATCACCTGGACTTATTAGGATATTCTCTATCTTAGCGTATTTCTGGGTAACATGAATATGGATGATAAAATCTAGAATATGAGTAGGATCCCCTTAAAACAAACATAAGAATAACCAAGTAATCTAAATCCAGTTAATGGTGAGCACTACTGAGGCTGGGTGAAGATAACAGTATCTGCTATCTTCTCTGAAATTGAACAAGGAACAAGATCAAGGAACAGAGGGTTAGGAAGCAAGTAAATGTTAACGGATCATGTAACAGTTAAAGATGTCACTAAAGAGCTCTTCTTTCACTATATTTTGAATTTTCTTTAGAAAAAAATGTTGAGAAGTACAAGAGTAAAAGCTATTGAAATTTCTCTGTGGGGAAAGGAAGCAACATTCACCTCTAAGTAGCTAAGCCTACAGAGAGCAGGCAAGGCATCCAAGTGTGGGACCACGTGTGTCACACTTACCACATCACTAGAGCTGGACTGCGTGGCAGAGGAGGAGGACACTGGACCTGATGAAGAGTTTGAAGAGTGTTTACTAAGAGACTCCGAGGCTTTACTTCTACATTTTCCAAGGGCTTCATTTTCTTCAGACAGATTATTATTACACTTATCTAACTGCTGAGTATCTACTATCAAGGGAACACCATTTCCTGAAAAAGTGGCAAAAGATTGGAAAACGTTTCTTCCCATTAAAAACACACAACACAGAAAAAAAAGCCCTGAGACCCAGTCCAACATCAAGGAAAAGGTCTTACCATTGCATGATGGTTCAGACCTATTCTGCAAGCCCCACTGTTTTGATATCCAATCTCTATATGTGGCAACTTCATCCGTCACTCTAATTATTCTACCTAATATGCTGCATGGGGTTAAAAAAAAAAGACAGAACAAGTATGTACATTAATTTGAAGACAAGAAGTGACAATCACTTTTTTGACACAATGGACTGATATGGGCTAGATTTTTACCTCTCTGTTTCGTTGTTGGGATAGTACTTTGCAATTGGTGATACAGCATGACTCAATACCACATAGGCATAATCAAAGGCCTGTTTCACCTGCATAGCCCCATAGGAACTCCTTCCAACATCATTACCTTTAAAGGAAATGGGTACAGAGAGAATTAAGCCTGGCTGGTTAATATAAACAAATGCTGATGAGCCTGTCAGAAGAGAAAGGCAATAGCTGCCCAACAAGGATTCTCCTATCACACAGTCAAAGAAACAGCTCACTATTCTTGCCTCAAAATAGAGAGCTAAACTGAAAGTAATGGTGCTGTCTGCTTGTTTTTATTTGGTTTTCTCCGTCTACATTAGCTATATTATATACATACTTCCTATACATGTAACTTCTTTCAAGCCACTCCCAAAGTTAGGAAAGTATAGAAGGGCTACACAAAAATCAGAAAGAAGCAGTCTGTAGAATATAAATAAAACAGCAATCTCCTGGAACCTTTCTGTCCATGCTCACTGCTGCCTAAGGTTTACCTCCCTTAAAGCCCTGCTGACCACTGGCTGGAATAACACTCCACAGGTATTACAAACCCACCCCCAAAGTAGATTCTACTTGGCTTTAAAGGGGTCAAGTGGATTCTACCCAACTTATCTGGAGTCTGCAAAGTGTTGTTCTCCCTGCCCTTGCCATGTGCTTGCTTATTTGAGTATGGTAAGAAAATATTTTGAACAAAGAGTTAAATAGAATTCATCCATTTTTCTTGTTGGTTGTTTCAAGACAGGGTTTCTCTGTGTAGCTCTGGCTGTCTTGGAACTCACTCTGCAGACCAGGCTAGCCTCAAACTCACAGACATTAACCTGCCTCTGCCTCCCACATGCTGGAATTAAAGGTGTGCACCATTACTGCCTATGATGCCCTCCCCTCTGGAGTCCACACATTCACCTCATCTCAATACCTGGTTGTAAAGGATCTTCAATATAAAGCATTGAAGGCCGGTAGCCGTCAAGCATATTTTTCTGAACCTCATCTTTGGCCACATAGGAACCACCATCCTTTATCCGGATGCCAGTCTTTAAATAATTGAAGTGCCGTCCATATAATTCAAAAAACTCTATTAAGAGAACACCATAGTTTGTATTGGGGATGCAAGCATCTTCCCTGGGATGTAACTAAAACAGAAAAAAAGGAAAATTATTTTGAATCTTCTCTGTATTACGAGGAAGGAGATATAAGTAAGAGCCTGACTTCTATGAGCACTACTATTATTATCAAGACTTTGGTTTACAATTCCAGTTGACAGCTATGCTGCTGCTACAGAAACCATACAATGCCCTATGGGTACAAACCTCTGGCTACTGGCAAACACTGTCAAACAAAACCAGGACTCTTACCCAAACAACAGGTTTCAAATATAGATGAAATTATATGATAACTGCTTTAAAAAATAATCTTATTTTTGGGGTGTGTGTTGTACGCATGCATATCAAGGACAGCAATTATGATGAGAGGTGTCTTCCTGCGTCGGTTTCCATAATACCTACTTATCTGCTAACTTACTTTGGGTTTTGTGAGGGAATGATCTTAGTATGTAGGGCTGGCTGTCCTGGAAGTCAGTATATAGACCAGGCTGGCCTTGATCTCAGAGATCTGCCTGCCACTACTCTTAGCCATCATACCCAAAAAATAGGGTGATAGTTCTGGGGAATCAAACCCAGACTTTATCGACAGTAGGCAAGTATATCATCTCTAACTCTTTTCTAGTTCACTTTTTGAAACGATCTGTCACTGCCTGGCCAGCAAGCCCCTGGGATCCTCTTGTCTCTGTCTCCAGTGCTGGGATCACAGGCACCTGCTGAACATCTAGTCTTGTGGGCTCTAGGGATCCAAACTCAGGTCCTCACGCTTGCATGGCAAGTTTGGACCTGACTGAGCCATCTCCCAGCCTGTTTAGTGTGCCATTGTGTGTGTGTGTGTGTGCGCGCACGCGCTGTATACAGCATATAAGCATACACATGTTCAAGTGCATGTCTAAGTGGAAGTGCAGATGCATTTGGGGGCCAAAATGTCTTGATGGTGACATTGACTGGACTCCTTAATCACCTTCCGTCTTAATATTATGAAATAAGGTCTTTCACTGAATCCAGAACTTGCTAATTGGCTAGTCTGACAGGCCACTGAGCTGCGGACAACCCTGTATTTTTGGTTGTTATTGCTATTATATTAGCATTCCCTTACAAAAATCAGAACAGCAAGTTATTATACACAGTGAGAAGTCTTATCCTCTCTCTTAGGAACATTATACGAAGGTATCCAGTTTAAAGAGAAGCATTCTAAAAATTTTTGATTTAAAATTTTCTCCCCAAACGTCTCTCCAAGTACTTTTTTTTCAGTGTACACTGGTATAGCACACCCACACAACTTACCTGAAGGAAACTGACTGCCATTAAAAATAGACTGTAAGAGCCGATTCCACCTGTAAATACTTCATTAAGGTCCCTCTGTAATAAGAATTGTTTCAATACTAAAACCAAGTATGGCAATACGGGATATTTCTGAAAGAGAAATAAAATTACATTTTCAATGAATTCCTATATATTATAACAGCCCAAAGAATCACCAAGGGCATAAAATGGTCTTTACATTACAAAATTTAGTAGCTATATCTAATATATTCAATTTTTAAAAGTAACCGTTCTAAGTAATGAAAGGATTTCTCCTCATGGTGATTTAATAATTGCAGCCTCACGCTCTCTGGACACACTAACCATCTAACCCTATAACCACAATCACAGGACAGGCTCTTGTAAACAGACAACAGAAACAGCGCAAAGGCCAAAGCCCCTAAACATTTAAGAATGTTTAAACCTAAACCAGTAGGAAATTGTCTGTAGGTGGCTCTCCACTGCACAGCAAGGTACCTCAATTCATCCTGCATCACCCCAGAACACAAACAGCCTTGCCGGGTCATCCACACAGACAGAATCACCGCCCAAGCCTTCTCTTCCTCCATCTTTACAGAAGACGGGACAGGGCTCTCAGAGCTGATAACTAAGATAGCTCACACACATCTCCAGAACTCAATGTTCCAGGCAGAGAACACAGAAATTCCCGAGTTGGTGGCTGTGACTTTTCATGTCATCTATCTTCCTTTGTTAGTTATTAAGCAAATAATTTTCAACTTTCAGTTTCTTTTCATGAAAAGTTATGCACATATGCATAAACCCTCCAAAAGAGACACTTTTTTTCCTCTTTCCACCCACTACATTCTTGTGTGCCTGATAAGGAAAGGGAAAGGGAAGCAAGGTTCATCAGGCAGGAAGCCAAGGTGGGACACTCAGGAAGGGTTACAAGCTTGAGATTCTGTCTCAAATATAAAAAAGAAGTAACTAGCACTGGAGAGCTGCTAAAGAGCTGAGTGCAGAGAAGAGATCCCAACACCTACAGCTCCGAGGAAATAGCAGCAGTGCTCTGGATATATCAGATGTTCTTAGATGATGCTGGCAGCTTCTTTATTTATATAATGAAATAAACTAGTGTTACCTCAAGGTAAAGTAACAAAACTCACAGGCACCTCCTGACAAAGAATTTAGGAGAAAAGGCTCTTGAGGGAGGGAAGGACCTAAAATGAACTTGGAGATGAAGAACTGACAAGAATCACACCATGCAACACCATCTCAGGTCTAAGGATCTAGAACAGTGGTGGTCTTTCCTCAACCTTTCCTAATCCCATAACAAGAAGCACAAGAAAGGGACAGAGAACAGCATGGCAGATGCCCAAGACGGACTTAGGTTTCCTAAGAGGTTCACTGTACAGACTGTCATGGCTCTGACCTTGGTAAAGTCTTTAATGAGGTCCGCTGCTCTCACGCCATTCTGGACATTAAAGCTGATATCAACTTTCACTTCAGTAAAAGAATCTGTTAATTTAATAATAGGAACCTAGAAAAAGAAGGCAGAAAAGTTTAAAATAATCTACCCAATGAAATAATAAAAGGTAGAAGGTTACTGGTGAGGCCTGTGATCTCAACCCTTCTCATAAAACCATAAAAAACATGAAGTGTTCTGAGACCAAGTACCAGCCAACCGCGTGGCTGTCGTCAAACTTGATTCCCTGAGCCACAAGGTGGAAAAAGAGAACTAACTCCTGAGTTGTCCTTTGACCCCCATATCTACAGAGCACGAATGCGCATGTCTGGGAGCACACACATAGATAAAAAGTAAAGAATAAATTAATAAAAGCAATGAATACAGTAAATTTTGTGTAAATTTTGTTTGTGTTTTGCGACAGTTGCCATGTTGGATGCTAGGGATTGAACCTGGGTCCTCTGTAAGAGCTCTTAACTGCTGAGCCACCTCTCAAGCTCCCAGAAACCTCTCTTTTGTTTACTTACATGTTTTTGTTTTTTGGCTTTTCGAGACAAGGTTTCTCTGTAGTTTTGGGGCCTGTCCTGGACTCGCTCTGTAGACCTGGATGGCCTTGAACTCAGAGACCCTCCTGCCTCTATCTCATGAGTGCTGGGATTAAAGGTATATGCCACCACCGCCCGGCTTACTTACATATTTTTATACTGAAGTCTTGAAAAGTGCATGAAAAAATTGGCTATTTTTCTTTTAAGAATAAAATGTATATAGCCAGGACAAGTTACTTCGCAGTCACTGTGACATTTACAAAATGATTCACTGAGCCACATCCCACTCAGGTCAGCAAGACCTGAGTCTAAGTTTCTCATAAGAGTTACAAAGACACAGTGCTAAGAACTTACCGTTGCTTTGTCTAGAACTTTCACAGAATCCTCATCGGCGACTTTGTGTTTCCGAAGGGCTTCTTCCAGGGTCCAGAGAGGCAGGTTCTCCCACTTCCCAAACACCACAAGGTCGATGTCACTGCATTGTAGTGACATGCATGAGGAGGGTCAGAAGCATCGAGCCGTCCGCATTTTAGCTGACAATCACGCTTACCAACTTCAAGTTGGTGCAGTGAGAACCCGTTCCCTTTCTGCCTCAGAAGATAATGTGCTGATGGCAATGGGTTTCAAAAGGAAGCAGAGGGAGGGAAGTGGAGGTGCTGATTTTAGCAACCTTACCCTCTCAGCTACTTCGCAGAACTCAGGCCTCCAAACATGGGTAATGTTGGCAGAAACAAAACCTCAAACATAATAGTATGAGTGCATGTTATTCCCCCCATAAAACTTTCTGGTGTTAAACTTAAGGTGTGTTGTCTCAATGAGAATGTAACTTATATGAAGTTATATAACTTATATAAAGTTATATAAAGTCTGAGTACCAAGCTTGCTGCCGATGTCTAAATACACACAGACACTCACACACCCCAATCTCATTACTTTTTGTGTCTTTTCCATATTTAAGTTATGATAACCGTTCTAACCACATATATGTCTGTGTGTTGATTTAATTATTTTGAGATAGGGTCTCGCCATGTAACTCTGGCTGGCCTGAAACATGCTACGTAGACCAGGTTGGTCTCTACTCTCAGAAGAGTCACCTACCTGCTCTGTCTTCCAAATGCTGGGATTAAGGGTACCACTACACCTGGCCATAACTTTTATCAGGAGTAATATTTTAGGTTTTGTTAACTCTTAGAGCCTAAATAATGAAGTATAATATTTTGGGGGTTTTAGAAGCCAAAGATAGCCCTGGGAAGAACAGATATGGCTAGGATGGATCCAACCACTGCAACACTATAACATACTTTAAGTTGAGGGAAGGCAGAAGGCAGACTATACAGCCACAGGGATACGGGGTGGGGTGGGTGGGTGGTGTAGCCTATGTATTAAACAAGCCTTCATTAGAAGGTTTAAGATGGAATCAGGGTTCTAAGTTAAATTCTGTGGTGGGATGCTGAGATCAAAGCAGGCTGAGTTCATTTAAAAAAGAAAATCTCTTCTACCTCATAGTACATAGGAACTAGACATTCATCCTGACACCTATTAGCCAGGCTAAGTGATAGGTTAAATGAGTACTTGTCTCCAGGGCTATCTATAACTGATTTCACTGCTACATGCTTCCTGTAAATCTCAGTCTAAACAGATGACTGGAAGTAATATTCTACTTAAGGAACCTCAAGTCAAATATAAACTGATGAATTTTGTTCCCTAAATAGTCTCCATCTTGTCAGGTGTGGTGGTATATATTATTAATCCCTGCACTCAGGAGGCCAGCCGAGCCTACATAGCAAGCTCCAGAATAGCTAGGACTACATAAAAAGACTCTATCTCCAAAACAAAACAATCCCATTTCTACTCCACCAATAGACAAAGTGTACAGAAACCAAAGTGTACAGAAGCTTCATACAAATACTAACCTAGTTGGTAAATACAGGCCAGTTTTAAAACTTCCAAATATCTGGACCTGGAACACGAAAGAAAAAAAAAAAAGAAAAATCACATTAAAGTGCTGATAAAGAAATGAATGTTCTTTCTGCCCTCTGCTGTTGGTTTTTAAAACTGCAGGAGCTACCCCCTCTCCTCCCCTCCCCCAACACACTCTAGGCTTTCCTAGAGTGAAGAGAGACACTGTGACTCACAGGCAAGCAGTCATTCAGAACATGGCATATAATCTAAATTAGAGACCTTGAGGTCATCATGATGGTTCAACAGCTAACGATGCTCGCTATGCAAGCCTGATCCCCAGACCCATGTAAAGGTAGAAGAAAACTAACTCTACAAAATTGTCCTTTGACCTCCACATATGTGCCTGAACATACATACATATGTGTGTACATAATATTTAGTAATAAAAATAATAGAAACACTTAAAATAGAGAAGTTTCAAAAGTAATGTTCCAGAGCCTAGTATTCCCTTACAAAACAAGGGAGGTCACAATCCTTAATTTATTCTCTCTGCAATTGCTGGCATTGCAGTTGCTGGCAATGTGTTGGTGTGCAGGCCAGTGTGAGAGAATACCAGGAGCAGTTTCTGCAGGATCCTGACATCAACGCCACCTCAGCCCAGAGAGCACAGTGGAACCCAACCAATTTTAGATGTGTAAGTCCAGGCAAGGAAAAAATGTTAAAACATTCTGGGTTTTTAAGAACCTGAGAACCTAACATTGCATTCATATTTGTTTGAACACCATTGCCTACCTTAAAAAGATGCAGATTAAAAGATCAGGACATCTTAACCTGGGGCAAATCATTCCTTGCTGTAGGTAGGGACTGTGTTGTTCACTGCACATTTAGTAACTTATTTACCACTAGATGTCAGCAGTGCTTGCCAAATCATGCCAGTCAGAGCTATCACAATGTTTATGCCCCAGGGAACACAACCAGTGGGGAGAGAAGCAATTCTAGCACAGTCAATAGCAGTTGCTCAGTGAGACACCCTCCCCTTTATTCTTTACCTACAGCACCACATTTGAATCTGTCTTTTGCCAAATGGAAAAACTGTCCCTGGCTTCCCCTGTGTCACCTAAGGAGGGTCTAACAAAACTATACCACACAAAGTAATAGAGTTATTACCGACTGAACAGGTAAGAGTTCTAGAACAAACTTGCAAAGAAAGCATAACAAAGAAAACACAAGTAGAGACCCAGGCAAAAACTGGGTCACCTGCGACCGCTGGGGCAGTCAACTTCAGGTAGCAAAGAAACGCCTTTGGTCCTAGGCAAATTGCGATGTTTATGCCGACAGGAGGGAATCAAACCAAACAAGGCCATGGCAGCTCTCATCCAACAAGGAACCACTGTCATCAGGCTACTTTAACCATCTAAATTGAGCCTACCTACTTTTAGTAGCTGCTACTCAACTCAGGAAAAACTAAGGGGAAGGTATGAGTGAAAGAAAGCAAGCACCAAACCCCAAAGTCTAATGATTCCAGGAAACTGCTGGCCTTTAAAATGTAATCTGACCAAAGCTAGGTGTGGCACATGTCTGGGAAGCAGAAATAGGCTATACTATGAGTTCAAGGTCAATCAGGGGTAGAACACAGTGAGACCTTGTTGGAAAGTAGACTACAATAAGGTGAACTAACTCTACAAAAGCACTTACACTGTGGGTGAGGTCTTATGTGAGACTGATTCTGTGGCGGGACTTTACCTGAAGCCCCAGGTCCCAGGACAAGTACTCACGTCAGCACTGGGCCAGAGCTCCTTAATCACACTCTCGATCCTGCTCACCACCTCCATCCGCATCTTCTCCTCCTCGGGCCTGGGAGACATGTACTCATAAAAGTCACTGATTTCTTCATGCAGACTGGAAAAAAAACACAAAGTAATGTGAGCAGACCAATCCAGTAGGAAGCCAGCTTCCTGAAGAATATTAACAGCAGGAAGGGAAGCCCTGAACTCAGCCAACACAGGCAGTTTCCTGATCACCTCAGCTCTCCACAAGGAGAGGAACAGTATGACTTCCATGGCATTTGTTTAATGAATCGAGTGTCAAATAAACCAGCTGGTAGAATAACAGGAGTGCCTTAAGAAGAGCCAGCAGACTCTGAGAAGGAGCTGCAGACTTCTAGAGACTACAATGTGCAAGGCATGAAATCAAATGCACAGCACAGCAAGTAGACAGCACATCTGGAGAGAGGTGCATTTGAAGGGGAAGGCAGCTCTGAATGATGACCAATTTGAATGGCAAACTAAAAAGTTCCAGCTGGTCTCAGGATGGCTCAATGGTCATGTTCAATAGGCTGGATTCATCCCCAAGATCCACAAGTAAAAAGAAAGGAAGACAAAGGGTAGGAAGGGAAAAGAAAGAGGAAAAGGAAGGGAAATTAAGTTCAGGCAACTGTATCAGAGATGGACAGAGGGGCAAGGCCTAGAACAGATGCATCAGAAGGGAAGCCAAGGGATGGTGGTAGGACAGGAACTCCAGGAACACTGTACATGAACAGACTAGCAGAGGGCATGAAAGTTTCCAACTCTCTGAGTCCTTGGAGAGTTACACTGGAGGAAGAAGTGGGGAGAGACTCAAGAGAGGCACTCACGAGCTGGCGGTGGCCAAGGGTCTGCAATTAGAAAGACCACTTGGCTCCAAAGCAGGAAGATAAAAACTCAAGTAAACCAAAATTGGCTTTCAGAAAGTAAAAAATGCCACCTTTCACTGGCCACAGCTTTTACCTCATGAACATTGATGATTTTAAAATGTGACCAAGTGAGCAATCAACTTATCATTCTTACCTCTTTTGATGCTAAAACAAAACAAAAACCCACCATCAACAACTATGTCAAAAAATGAGTTCTAGCTCAGGATCTGCCCAGAAGCAGTTATGTCTCCTGAACATGTGGCTCTGGTGCCTGATGTTCCCCAGCCCATGTGTTGTTCATCATATGCAGGACAGACTGCCAGAAGGAATGATAAACATGATCACATGTTGCCTGTCTGCCACATATAATACTAAGTAATGCCTTGATTTTAAAAGTCCCAAGGCAGGTGGATCTCTGTAAGTTTGAGGTCAGCCAAAACTACATAGTGAAAATTCGTCTCATAAAATAAAACAAAAACTCCCAAAGGAGTTTTTAATAGGCAGATTAAGGACATTTGCCACCCAGACGGACAATTCACATGGTGGAGAAAACTGACTCCTGCAGGCTGTAATCTGGCTTACACAGGTGTACAATGCACGCACACAACAAATAATAACAAATAACACAATAAAACCATAAGTCTCCCAGACTCCAGAAAACTATCCAAGGAGCCTGGTGCTCCTCGGTTCAATTCTGGAGGCCTTTCAAGTTTACAGGTTTCTGTAGGTTATCGATGTCTACTACTTACAGACAACAGAAGAAGGAAAAGCTTGCATTACTCCTCGACACAGGCCTGCTGGCAAAAATGAAGCCACAAGTTGCTTCTCAACTCACTTCAGTCTGCTGCAGACTATGAGTTTATCTGCAGCTCTGAGTGCTAAATCAGAATACTAGCATCCTACCCAATGTGGGAGAAAGGCTCCCTTACACATTTTCTAATTCAAATGCAAGCGAAACATTGAGTCTAACAGCCGGTTCAGTTCTAAGTCAGAAGTCACCAGCCAAAAAGAAGTCCGTTTCTAAATGTGTACACCAAGCTTTAGGATAAACAGGACTTGTCAAACTGAGCCTTACCCTGAGCCATCTTTGTGTAAGAACACAGAAAAAAACTAAAAGCAGGTTTTGTAAGGCTAGGTCTGTCTGCAATGATGTACAACAGACAGCTTTCAGACAGGGACCACAGGTCCCCGTCACTACACATGAAATAAACTAGACAATCAAAAGGCAAAGGTCCCACAAAAGGGATTTCTGAACACAGTGAAAAGGTAGAGAAGATTCTAAAATTCGCCTTCAGTGCTGGGATTCTGGGCTTTCTGCCAGCACATATTAACTTGAAGGGAAGTTATTCAGGGTTCTACAAGTTTTAAGACAGGATTTCCCTCTGGGCTAGGCTGCAGTTTACCGGTTTCTTTGCCTAGCACGTGATAGGCAAAGGCCTGGATTGGATCCCCAGCACTACAAAAGAAAAAACTACACAAGGAATTAATATTCCATGAACTATTTTCTCCCTAGTAGTTCCTCTATTTATTTAACTCTTTAAATTGCTAAAAGAATCCAGAGCTCTATGTGTGCTAGGCAAGAACTCTTAACACTGAGCTACATTCCTTGCCACAGCTTTATTTTTTTAAACAGGGTCTTGTTATGCAGCTCAGGCAGTCGTTGAACTTGATATCCAGGCAAGCTACTGGTTCTATAGCAGACATTAGCTGGGTGACCTGTATTCTGACATTATTTATCCAGAGATAGCAACAGAGCCTCTACCACCAGAGGCCCCAGCCTAATTGTAAACCCCAGGCTGTTGACTGTAAACTAGGGATCCTATGTCCAGTTCCTTAGAGTAGTGTGCATCTAGATCTGCTCTGAGAACTCAAAACCCACACTTACTACATTATCTTTAAAGCTGCTTTAAAGGATAAATGGTCAGAAGCAGAGATGCACAGGATGATCTGGAGACTCCTGAACTCCCCAGCTTCTGAGCTAGTGCGGTTGAGATATGCACCCACCTGGCTCTTGCTCACCTTCTGGGGAAGGCCCATGTGCTCTGTCTGCAAGCTCTGCCGGACCAGGCCTTTTGAGGGGTGGGAAGCTTTATCCTGCAGGCCTGATCAACCTGAAGTCCAGGTGCCAGGGTAGAACATGAAGGCTTGATTCTCTTGTGGTACCCTGGGTTTTGCAGTGAGTATCCTCACTGTGATGCTACCCAAGGGGTGCCCACCATCAGCCAGTCATCAGTGTACAAAAAGTACATAATGCTTTGTTATCCATTTGGATAACAGTATTTTCCTTCTAAAAGTTAGAATAGGTGAAAAATCACATTCCTTTTAGAAGGGCACAGAATATGCAAACACTGCAATAAAATAGAGTATGATACAAACACCACCCAGGCTTCTTAACAAAAGAACCTCATGTTACAAGAAAGCATCAGCCAGATCTACCCAAGAACTATTAGTAAGTAGGCTGAGAGTAAGTCTTAGGCTCAGAGCATACACTTTTGAAAAGAATACACAGAAAAAGCACACACACTGCGGGTGGAGTATGAATTACATCAACCTCTTATCATTCCCAGCCTCTTTACTCCTATCTTCCATAGGGTTAAGGGTATGGGTACGAGTGATTTAACTCTTAAGTTCCCAGGTGATATGTGTGCACGTATGTGCATATGCTTCTCTCGGATATGTATGCATTTCCCTGTTCCCATAACATCTGTAACCTACTATTAACAATAAATTAATTCAGGTAGTAACTTCAAAGAGAAGGGATTTACTTTAATAACTATATACACATAAATATATATAACATATAAATATATTATTATACATTTTTATGACCCATTTTTCAGAATGTACATGCTAATGGCATTGTATGTTTTAAAACCAAATCTTTGTATAAGGAAATATATCAGAAAAAATAACAGGGGAAAAAATAAGATTATTCTAATAATCTTACCCTGAAGATCAAAAGGTTATACCTGTGTAACTAAGGAGCCTGAGCAATTGTAGAAGGGATTCTGTGGTCAGATAGTGGGCAGCATAACCACCAGGGGGGACATAGGACTCCAACTCCAGGCCTCAGTGACCGCACATTGGTACAGACACCTCTGATTAAAAAGCTGTGGTCGGCCTCATGCATGTTCAATGTGAATCTGCTGGTGCCGTTTCAACAGACTCAAACTTGAGACCAAGTTCCAAAATGACCAATTGCTGGTGGTATTTTCCTTCCTCCCGGGTGGAACTGACAGTTGATGTCATGGACTTAAAACTTTCTATACCATTTCATTTTTCTCAAATATACCAAGACACTAAGAGAACTGCGCAATCGAGTCCTACAAAAATCACAAAGCAATGTGGGTGACTTTAGCAGGCTCCAGAATTCATGGTAGAAATAGAAACAATCTTTAACCAGCTAAGGAATTCAAGCTATCAGCTAGATACCTCTGCCAGGCTGTCACCTCAAATGTCACAGGACCAGAACCAAAACTCCTATTACTCCCAGTCCCAGCTGTCCAGAACTTTCTTCTCCAGTTCACCTTTTATCTGCTTCCAGAGTCCACTTTCTCTACATACTGATCTGATGGCTTAAGGAATGTTGGTTGTTTTTCAGCAGAGGAATTTGGTCTGAGCACCATGGGCCACAGGTCCTATTCCTTCTTTCCTCCTGAAAGCAGCAATTTAAAGAACATGAGTTTTATGCAGTCAGCCTGTGCTGGGGCAAGCACTTTACATGTCCAGCCTAGGTCCCACCTGTAGAGTGAGGACAGCAAGAATAAGACTTAACCTGCAGTTTACTGTTTACAAAGCAAACCCTCAGGGAAAAAGCTATCACTCTTAAAAGACACCTTCCAAAGACAATTCAGTACAGGTGTTTGTTTACAGGCCTAATCCTAGTCATCACAATCTCTGTTTCTTTGTTTTTCATTTTATTTTATCATTTATGTGTATGGGTATTTTGCCTGTATGTCTGAGTACTACATACATACAGTGTACTCTGAGATCAGAAGAGGGCATCTCTGTTCTCTGGGGACTGAAGTTATTGATGGCTGTGAGCCACCATGCAGGTGCTGGAGAACATAGGTCTTCTGGAAGAGCGGCCAATGCTCTTAACCACTGAGCTACTGCTCTAGCTCCCATAATCTTTGTTTATTTCAAATGTTGGGATGAAGGGAAAAAAAAACATGAAACAAGAAAAATATTTAAGAGAATGAAAAAAAAATTATTAAAGAGAAGGAAC